CTCTCGTAATATTCCCTCTGTCTTAACATTGACAATAGGCCAGTAATCATGTTAAAACTTGTAGGATTATGTCAGCTTAACAAACAAAGCCCATTGATGTATTGTCTATGGAAGTTGGAGAAAAAACAATGATTTTTCCGGACAATTTCATGTCTCTTCATAGTTTGTCCCATTTTCTACACTTGCCAGTTGCCAACTAGATACCGAGGTTTCTTTATTGGATGTTTTAAATATTTATTTGCCTGAATATTCCCCTCATGGCCAAAAAGAGCCTAATTTCTATACCAAAACATAAAGCTTTGACAAATAATTGGTGCTAAAATGGGTAACAAAAATTATTTTAAATACAATATTTGACAAAATACAAAAAATCTATAAAAGTAATATAACTTTAAATTTTAACAAAATCATATATAAATTTGATAAAAATAAAAATGACTAATATTATGAATAATTCATAAAATATAGTAAAAATTTTAATTTTAAAAATATCTAATTTTATATTTAAATTATAAATTTATCTATTAATATAATATTTTATGAATTATTTGTTTATTACGTATCATTATTTAAAGTTAATTACATTAAGAATAAAATTTATATTAATTAATATTTCATAATTCACGTATCATATTAAAAAAATTTTAAATTTAAATATTATATTAAATATTTTATTAAAATTTAAAAACTATTCATAATATTAATTTAAATTAAAAATATATTTTATTTTTAAAATATTAAAAAATTTATGATATAATAATTTTTATATTTTACATTATGCTCTTATATGCAATCAAATAGAAAAACACGAATGACGAGTTGTAACAAAAGCGATGGCTGCCGTTGCATCCAAGAATAACATTAGCCACTCATCAGCATTCACACTATTGTTTTTTCCTGTCTGCCGTTTTACATTGTATTCCATTTCCTTGGTATTTGCCTCATTGGACTTAACGACCTTTGCATTATAACTCATCCCAAAAGCACTTTCCTTCCAACAATTTGCAATATCATTACAGGTTTCCAGGCACCAGTTTCTGTGTTCTAACTCAACTTACAATTTCTTGGTATGTTCTCAATCTACTTCTTGTTAACTCTACATCTTTTCTTACATAGGTTTTAACTTCCTTTTTCAGTCTCAGTTTGCCCATTTTTAATCTCTTTGCCTTGTGGGAAGATTCTGCTGAGTGGGAATTCCAGGCCTATGTTTGAGTATTTTATACATTTTGTTTTGGATTTGTCAATGGAACAGGTTAAAAATGAATAGAAGGAATGAAGAAAGAAGAAGAAATGGATCAGTTAAAGCTGCTGTTAGTATGTATGGAGAGAGGATTCCTGTTGGTAATTCTTCATTGAAGAAACCCCAGGAGGATTTTCCAGAGGTATAATTTTCCTACTACTATGAAAACCCTCTTGCTTTTTATGCAATGGAATTTATAATTTTTCAATCTGACTGACAAAGTTGTCATTGTGGGATAATAACTGTTAAGAATCCTTCTTCAAGAGCAAGAGAGCTTCGTAAGGCAAGAAGGGATACGAGTCGATACAAAGAGAGTAGAAGAGCTGCAGAATCAGATAAGGTTAAAGCAGAATCTGAACTCTTTCGTGCAAGGAAAACTGTTAAGGAGCTGGCTTCAATGATTGAGGAATCAAATTTTAAGGCTAAGGCAAGGATGAGAGACATTGAATCTTTAAGGATGAATGGAAATCTTGAACAGAAGGCATTGGCTGTCAGCGGCACTGACAGTTATCAGTATGCAGAAGTTATGAGAGAACTGGAATTGGTGAAACAAGAATTGAGTAAACTTAAGCTTGACATGGCTTATGTTATGGGAGAGAAAGCAAGAGCAGAGAAGGATTTGGAAAACTCAAGCTTGAAAATGTGGTCTAATGCTAGCTCTGTTGAAGCGCTCAGGAAGCAAATTGAGGCAGCTAATGAGGAACATGTGCTGGTTGAATTGGCCCGGATTGAGGCTCTGAAAGAAGTTGGAGAAATTGAAGCTCAAACAGAAAAAGGAGCCGGTGAATTCTCATTTAGTATGGAGGAAACAAAGACGAAAATGAAGGACACAATTGAAGAGATTGATCAATCCAAAGAGTTGAAACAAAATTTGGCTGTAACTTTGTCTGATATTAATCTCTTTGAAGATGAGCTAAAGCAAGTTAAGAAACTAGACAAAATGGTTCAAAGAAGTGATGGCTTGAAGCAACCAGATCACAGTTTTCAAAATGCTGAGGACCTGGAACCTTCACCTTCTTTAGAGTCGGTCATAAAAGAGTTGGAGGCTGCTAAGAAAGAATTGGCTGCAACTAGAGAAGAAGGTTTTCAGTATGCATCCTCTATGGATATCATAAGAAATGAGCTGAAACATGTAAAAGAAGAAACAGCACGGTCGAAAAAAACAGAAGAAAAAGCAGATTTGAAAGTTCAAAGTCTCAATTCAAAGCTACTCGGAGCAAAATCCAAGTTGGAATCAGTAATTGCAGCCGAAGAAAAGGCGAAATCAATTGTGACCAATCTTTCCCTCACCCTTGAACGGTTAATGACAGAAACAGAGGCATCAAAGAAAGAGAAGGTGCTTATTACTGAAGACATTGCAACTATTAAGGCAGAAATCCAGAAAACTGAGTCTCAAATAGACTCAACTGAGGAAAGATTGCAGGCAGCTATGCAAGAACTTGAGGCAGTTAAGTCATCAGAAGGTTTAGCTCTAGAAAAGTTGAGATATCTCATAGAGACTACAATGCAATCTAGAGCTTCAGCATCAAACCAGAGTTCCACAATCACTATCTCAAAATTTGAGTACGAGTATTTAACTGGACGTGTGGTTGGAGCTGAAGAAATTGCTGATAAGAAGGTTGCTGCAGCACAGGCATGGATTGAAGCTTTAAAGGCAGGTGAGAGGAAGATATTGATGAAAACTGAAATAGCTCACAGAGATCTTAGAGAGATGAGAGTAGAGGAGGAGCATGAGGTATATGGAACGGAGAGGTCACTTTCAGCAAAAAAAAATGATACAGAAAGAATTAAGGGACTGGAGACAGACTCATGAGAAAAATGTGGATACACAAAACAGGCAATCACCATTTCACAGAAGATCCATGAAAAGCAATGGTAATTCGACCCCATTAGCACAAGCAAAGTTTCCTAAGCCTGCATCGCCTCCAATACAGGTGAGTGGATCAGCACCATTCATCATTAAAAAGAAAAGAACATGATGCCAAATTTAGCCTAGTTTTTTAGCAGTAAGGAAGTTGACAAAGATGTGTGTAAAGTGCAGGTAAATCTTTGTGTTTAAAATGGAAAATGTTGCATACTACAAGCATTTGATGCCTAACAGTTGAAGTGGTGTTTTCTCAATAACTGCTTGCTTTCCAAGTTTCTTATGCGCTCGCATTTCTTAACAAAAACTTGATATTCAACAGAGTGATTGAGGCATTACAAATGCAATTGTGGCTGAGTTTCTGTGAAAGTCATGTAAATGACTGCAGACTACTTGTTTACAGGATAGAATAATTGTTCCATCCCAAGTAGTGGTTTTACATGTTCACGTCCCCTTTACCTTGCTTAATTGTTGATTCAGCTTTAATATGGCATTTACAGACCGAAATATCGCATTTGATTTAAAAGGAATGTGTTATTCTCATTCATCCTTTATTCTTCAAGTTTTAATATTTTCTCAAAGTGACTCTGCTTCTAAATCAAGAACATAATCGGGAAAGATTTTTTTTTTTTTTATATTTATATGTACCGAACATGTGTGCTCTGCAGTAGTGAATTTATTGGAGACGACAGTTTCACAGAAATTTACAGACAACCAAACAATACTCCTCCACAAAATTAAGGCAGCATGTACAAGACCATTACAGTAATTATAAGAAGCCCAGTTCCACATAGACGATCCGAATTTTGGACTTAAACCAATGGTTAATTAAATAATTTTTGTTATAATCCTACTTTAGGAGCAAATAATTCCGATTTAAACCTGCTCACTATATACACAACTGAAATGTGGGGGTTTGAATAATTTATTTTGCTTTCAACATGGTATAGGCAAACAGGTTTAGATATGTAGCATTAATACTCCGGCTGAACGTTAAGAAATGAAAGTTAAACCAGAAAATGAATACAAAACAGATCTGTGTTTCAGGTAGTGTTTTTCAATTTCAAGTACATCTAATACACTGTTCCTAATGAACTCTTTTTTTCTTTTTTAAGTATGACGATGGATTCCTGAAAATCTCAATATATAGCTAACTCCACAATCTCTATACAATCAAAGTTAGTAGCATAAGCAAAATATTTCATTCGTTTGATTCTTTGAAATTCTATTGTTAAGCTTATAAGGAATCAATAAATCATACATACACTCAGCAATGAATAATTCAGTATTGAGATTGAAATTATAGCTAGTAGAAAACAAAACAAGGGCTCATGACGGCATCAAGGTCCAGGAACTCTAGAATTAATGCAGAGAAAAGTTTTTCAGATTTCTAAATTAAACCAAGCATTCAAGGACTCTGGACCTCTGGTTGTGCAATTTTACAGCTTCAACCCGAGCTTAGTCAGTAGAATATGGCCATGAATCCTACAAGAAACATGGAATGCAATTTCTAGTTCACTACTCAGTAAATAAGCAGGGGGTTAACATTAAAATTCTATCCAAAGAAATAAAGCTAATCGCTGTTTCTTTCCATTTGCAGCATTAGTTCCTGAAACTAAAGATAACCTATGCTGGATTAACGTTTGATATTCTGGGTTTACATTTAATGCAATGTCATCTCACTAATAAATAAATTTTTTAAAAATATTAATTTTTTGTATATTTATTTTAAAAATTGATATTTATACATTAATAAAATGACATTATCCAATTGACTGACAATAAATAAAATTTATATACTAACGATGTATCAAATATAAACTCATACTAAGATAAAATGAAATGAATAAGTTTGAAAAATATTAAATGATCAACTGAAGTGGTTTTACTACGGAAACAGTGTTAAGGCTGGCGAATTATGAAAGGTTAAAAACATGGTATGGAAAGAATACCTACTAATATGTCCAGTCTCAACTGTTACAGAAACAACAATAGTTAATTTGAAGAAAAGTTATATAATAAATCTAAAGGAGTCAAATATCAATGGAACCAGTTTTGGTTACTTAAACATTGAAAAAAAACCTTCTTTGCATCAAGGATTTAAGTTTTGGCTACAAGAGGACATGTGGTTGAGAAAGAAATATTAAAATTAATGTTCAACAAGAAGGACCTCTTTCATCAAGAGGTTTAGTGGTGAAAGCAGCAAATGCAGATGGCAAGAAAATGGGTTGCCTGGTTCCCATTTCCAGAAGATTCCAGCCAAGATGAGTGTTTGCCAAAATGATGAAAACACACAGCTGTAGACCCACAATCAAAAAGACAAGAATAACTGTCAAAATCATGGCAGATGTAGGGTTGGTAGTCCTCATATGCAACTAATCGCAGTTTTAGCAAGCAATAAACATAGATAGGGGTAACTATTTGCACCAAGAGTGGAACTGTAATAAACTCTACACCTATAATGATTGTAATTTGAATAGTTAACAACATATAGACAAAAAATATCCCTTTTGCTTTCTCTTTACAGTCAGAAGTATCTATTTGTGCTTTTAGAAAAGAGATAGGCAAATATTCAACATCCATAATGAAAAGCCTCATTCCATTAGTAAGATTACATAACCAAAGGTTCTATTTTTCAGAAAAGGGATGAGTGCACCCTCATTTACTAACAAAACCAAGATCAGGAGAGACAATTCAACCATACAACACTTTGTGTGGAATACTATAATCTCAAGAACATTCGAGAAAAACAAATAAACAAATCAAACAAACAAAAAAAGGAACAAAACAAGTAAGTTAAAAGAAGAAACACCATATTGTCTATTTAGATGGCAGGCAGGTTACACATACCACTACCAAAATCAGAACCAAGGTAGAACGACCAAAAGTTACCAAGACACCACTACCAAAATTGTTTTCCCTGTTGGAGAACGAATCATTGTGGTTCTGATGTTCTGATCTGTTGCTCAGCATTGATTGTATGTAACTTTGCCAGAGCCTCAGACAAAAGTAATGTTGTGGCTTTGGTCATGGTTTGGTACTTTGAAGGCAACATTGGGGGTGGAGGCTGAGATTTGTATATTTGTACACGAGCAGGGTCATCATCAACTTTGTTAGTGTAATTGGCTGTTTCACCAGCAGCAACACCAAATGATTGAGGTTGGTGCTGAATTTGAGCACCTGCAAGCATTGTTTCTGTTTCGGTATGTGGTGCACGAATAACTGGATGTGCTGCTGGAATGTTTTTGCATTGTTGTGAGGTTAACTCAGCTACAGGTTGAGTTACCGTTGCAACCTCCTTGAGAACCATTTGAGTTGGAATCCACGAAGCATTTGGTTGAGTTTGGGGCTGACCAGAGCCAATACTAGATGCCTGAATCATACCATGCTCCACAGGTATATTGTAAGATTGAGTTGGGGCAACAGGAAAGTAATACAGTGGGTAGGGTTGATTGGTCTGATAATAGAGATGTTGTTGCTGCAGCACCGGATGATACATAGGGTAATATGATGTAACTGGCTGTATTCCAGGCATATTTTGCGGCACGTAATGGGTACCCTCGCGAATAAATAGTTTTGGCTGCTGAGGTAGATCCATCAGATTTAATGGAAACCCAGACGCCTGAATTGGTTTATGCATCTCAATCCCAAAGGAAGGATCAGCAATTTTCTTGTCTGATTCAAAAGGGTTCAATGAGACTTTATTATCTATTGCAGCAATGGGGCAAACTTGGTCTTGACAAGTTCCAGTCTGCACACTAGGAACAGCACTCCCAACACAATCATCACTGTTGGAAAGACAGACAAAAATTATAAAATCAATAACCGAACCAGCACAATAAAAGTGCATCATCAAAGGAAGCAAAAGAGTATCAAATTATTGACCTTGAAGATATACGGTGTTAAACTTCAAAGGTCAATCTACAGCAGCTAGTAGTGTCATTTCAGTTCTATCTGAAACAAACTGACTATGATAAAAGTTGCTACCTATCCCAACAAGTTTAAGCAGCAATTTTTTAATTTAGAAATTTGATTATCAAGTTTTTCATCCCTTCTATTTGAGATTTAAACATAACATTCAAGCCTTTTCCTATCAGATTAAGCCTTTGGGATACCTGTTTACTCAAACTATCTATGTACTAATGAGTTCATTCCCTATTCCTTCCCTTAAAAAACTTCAGTTTTCTATCATATTCGCCTCCCCTCATTAACCAAGAGGAATCAAAACAATAGGAATCACCAAAATCTCCTCAAACTTTTTCTTTTCTGGGTTCTTTTTATTTTCTCAGAAGGCTCAAATAATATGGGTCCCAGCTTACCTCTTTAGCGAAATAGGAGCATGAAGCAAAAACAAAAGGTAATTAAAAAAAAAATGAAATGCTCATTTACACTGTAAAATTACTTTCATTTCACATATAAAAAAGACCCAAAAAAAAAAAAAACTCTTTTTTTAACCTTGGTATTGAATCTGATGAGGGTTTGATTGGAGGCAAATTGGACAAAGAAAGCGAAGAAGAAGTAGAGCCAAAAGAAGAAGTTTCCAAAACAATAGACTCAGCTTGTTCACCACTTTCCCCTCCAAATCCCACTCTTGCACTCCTCAAAGCATCAATAAACCAACTCTCCCTTTTGGGATGACTCAACTCAGCGTTACCGCCATTGACAACTGGAAAAAGAAATAGTCTGATACGTGAAGGAGTAGCAGTATTAGAAGAAAGTCTGCTATGCTCTTCTAACATGATTTGAAGATCATCATCAGTTGAGATGGAAATGAGTGAGTCGAGGTCGTGACCAGGAAGTTGGTATTTGAGAACAAACGGGGTGGCGACGTGGAGGACGGTAGAAAGGTGGGTGGTGAGAGAAGAAAGAGTAAGGGTGGCGGTGGTGGTGGTGGTGGTGGTGGGGAAAGTGATGATGCGGTTTTCACCGCCGGCGTAGTAAAGGGCTTTGGTCTGTGGGCGTGGGATTATGTGGCCGCCGTGGCTACACATTAGACGTAGCTTAGGGGTGGTGGGAGGTGGATCCATGGCGGTGGAAAAAGGGAAAGTCTTGGGTTTTGGGCGGCGGTTGGGCTTGTGCTGTGGGAGTTGGTTAAGCAATTTTGGAAAGAAAATTGTCAAAGAAATCGGTGTTTTGTAAGGAAAGAAAAGTAATTTTGGAAAGATAAAAGGTTGTATGAGGGGTGACAAGTGGTGTAAGCACATACGAGCCATGTCATCGATTGGAGGGTAGCGGTGACGGAGATTAATGCGGCCATGCTTGCGTTAGATGTAAGCATTGTGGAAGCACAATCAGCTCCGCTTTTGAGTCAATAAATAAAATAAGATCTAGATCAAATTCAAAGTTCTCAAATTTGTTCAAAATTTTGTCTAAAAATGACAAATTTGTTGGAACTCCTAATTTTAATTTTGATCGATGAATTAATCAATTATATTATCATCTTAGGCTCATTTAAAATTAGATACATGATGTTTAGATTAAATTAGATTCGATTCAATTAATTTTGATTCGAATTTTTTAAATAATACATAATATTATAAATTTTTAAATTCAAATCGAATCTAAATTGAATTTTTTTTAAATCAATATGAACTGAATTTTATCAGTTTAATTCAGTTTATTAATTTTTAAATTTTTGATATATTATTTTAATAAAAATTTTAATATATTTAAATAGATTTATATATATAATAAGTTTTTTATTTTATATAAAAATTTTAAATATATATAAAAATTAATAAAAATATATAATTTGTTTAATTCAATTCAATTTTTTTTTTTTCATATCTGAATTCAAAATTTAATTTGAACTTAATATATAAGTTTATTACTCAAATTTGATTTTAAAAAAAAAATTGATCAAATTAAATCAAACACTATAATTTAAAATTAATTTTTTATTTTTTCAAATTTTTTTCTCTTCTCTATTTGAAATCAACTATATCTCCTAAGAGAGATAGTTGCAATAATAATTTGTGTCAATTGCACAAAACACTCGTGTCGATGTCAATGATTAGAAATATTTTGTATTTTTAAACCATTAATCAACTTTAGTTAAGAGTGTCAATCTCTGATAGCATAATAAAAAACTTATGTTGGTGGGATTACAGTCTAACCAATAGAGAGAGAATCAATAGATTCCTTTTCGGGAGCGATTCATCCTTCCCGAACGCAGCATACAACTCTCCGTTGTACTGCGCTCTCCTAAGTGTGCTTGTTCCCCCCTTCTTCCTTACCATGGCAAGTATTTGTGAAATAAGAAATAACTCCGATGGGAAGAAAAAAAAAGGGCATTAAGAAATAACATTATAAGATTCTTTTATATACCTACTCCCATTTCAAGTCAAGAGATAAATAAATAGATACATCTCAAGGAACTTAATAAAATATTGATAAAATTAAATATAAAATAAAATATGTCATAATATAATATAATTTTTAAATAAATACATTTTTTTTATAATTTATTAATAATGAAAATTTATCTCAATTGTTCATTAGCGGTGTTATATAAGGGATTTTTTTAAAAAAAGTTTCTCTTATACCAATCAAAAATGTTAAAAAATAATATAAGTTAATGATGATACAAATTTTTTTTATAATGAGATTACATTTGTATTATTAAGTAACTAACTATGTATGAAATAATTATTATATTGAGTATAACAAAACAATCATATATAAATTGGATCAAACTTATATATAATATATATTATGGAGATAATTAAAGAAAAAATTGTAGCTAGTAAGTGTGATAACAACAAAGTGAAGACAAAATTTCAATAAAAAAACAAGTCACAAATTAAAATTAAAATAAGATTGAAAATATGACTAATTAAAAAAAAGGTAAATTACATAAATATACCTTGAAGTTTAAAACGATTTGAGTTTGTCCCTTTGAGGTTTAAAAAGAGATATTTAATTACCCTGAGCTGTGTATCTATAACATTCCATTAATTTTTATTAACGCTATTAACGCCTAGTCAATAAATCCTAGCTCTTTCCTCACATTTTTTTTTTGTTTGTTATTTCTCAAACTCAAAGTTTTCAAAGAAAAATTGGACTGAAAGCATGAATTTTTTACAATTCAACAACTAGGGGATTAAATGTTGGAAAAGTATATTATTGTGGTGTGTGTTGCTAGTTAATCTTCTCCTTCTTCCTCTTTTCATCTCTGTTTTAAAAGCTAAAAAATTTTTAAAAAATTCAAATCGAAATTCACAGAAAAAACCCTTGCTGATAAGTTGTTATGGCTGTTATGTGGATTTGTGGTTACTTTATAGGTTTATTGGGTATGAGTAATTTATGGTGGATTTAAGTTCTGTGAGTTTTTTCTAGTGGTTATTAGGTTTACTTCTAAGTTTCTTTTAGGCTATTTGTTCTGTTAATGGTAGTCCCTGAAAATTGGTATGGCTACTGAATGAAAATTAATTATTTATTTGATGCTTGATACAATTCTTAATAGCAAAAATTTCATTCCCAAAAAGACACAACTTAAAATTTGCATACAAACAGATAAGTAAAAAAATTAAAAATCTCAAACAAGAACAATCAACATAGCTAAAGAACACCATTAACAGGAACATCCAAAAGCAAAATAAAAAATTTAGGTCTTAGTTTGATATTGCTTTTTTAGTTTTTTTAAGAAGAGTTTTTCAGTGATTTTGGATTTGGTTGTTTTCAAGATTTTCTTTTTAGAGTAAAAGAATGAGGCATTATTGGTAGAAAAAAGTGTTACAGCACAATGGGTTTTTTTACTTTAGCATTGGGGTTTTTTTTTTTTTTTTTTTTCAGTTTATGGTAATGGTCACTAGTGATGAAGGACAATAGTGATAACCGACAATGATAGCACAGTGGATGGTGATGACGAGTTTCAATGAAATATGAGATTTTGTTTTCTTCAATTATAAAAAGAAAGCAAAGAACTTAACTAAAAAAGAAAGAGCTATTGCAAAAAAAAAATAAAAAATTGAAGCATTAGAGAGAGGAGAACCAAGAAAAATAAGTTTTATTAAAGACAACTTTTATAGAAAGAGAATTTATTTGATTTTAGAGAGATAAAATGAATTGAAGATGAAGAAAATGAAAATAATAAAAAAAAGTAACGGTTTTGGATATAATATAATAAATAAAAATCACAAAGTAATTAAATGTCATATTTTAAATCTCAGAAGATAAATTTAAATTACGTTTAACCATAAAATATATATATGTAATTTATCCTAAAAAAAATAGAAATACAATTTAAAATTTTTTTAGTACTCACAATTTAAACTTATACTCATATTGAAAGAAAATTATTATAACTTTTTAATTAAAATAAATGTAAAAGTGAAGATAAATTTTATTTTTACCTTTTTCTTAATAAATTTTAATAATTTTTAGTGGTGTTTATGTAAAAAATCATTAATTTTTTAATATTAATTATATATAAATTGTTTATTTTTAAAAGTTGAGTGGAGTTAATTGATCAATTGACCCCAGTCTCTCTACGGTGGTTATGCCATTATCGATCCCGCCTTAAACTCATGGCAACACCTTGCTTCTCTTTCTCCATATCTTTTTCCTATTTCCTTCTTTCTTTATTTTTTCACGATCTTTTCCTTTTTTTTGTTTTTTATTTTTCTTTTTGTTAATTTTGAATAAAAAAAATCATATTTTACATTTTTTTTTTAGCTTTCATATATTTTTAAAGTTTTTTGTGAATTTTTATTTAAATGGTGACTTAGCAATGGACTTTACAAATGACGTAGTATTTTTGTTGATACATGTCATGTTATATTAGCAACTTGACTATGTTAGTTAGAAGTATCAAAGTATATAAAGGAATGAAGGTTTGGGTAACTAGATGCAAATGTTATTTTTTTTAGATACCATTCCAATGGAAAATGTATATTGTAAGACTATAGGTGTCAAATGTGCTTGGCAGCTTATGACATGACATGATTTGGTACAGCATAGACTGTATTTTGGCACCACGACCCATTGCTAAAATCGTGGGTTGTACCAAGTAAAACTCATATACTTGTGTCAAAACTGGACTAGAGATTTTGGGTCCATTAGGTTGGCACAGCACAACTTGTCAAGGGCCAGTGCCAACACATGACACATGGATTGGCTCAATTTGACACACAAGCACTAATGTGCTATGTTGTATTGACCAATAAATGTTATAAATGAGCATAGTTTACTAGTCTTTAGTTACATTTGATGCTACTCTTTTCGTAAAATAGATGTTCTTTGATTATTTTGACACTTTATGTTAATAATTTTTAGAAATTAAATTGTATCATTAAATCTACTTATAAAATATTTAAACTATTAATAGAAAAAATTATAACTTTTTCATTTTGATTTAACATTTTCTTAAAAAAATTATGAAATGTATATTATTTAAAAATTGATTATGAAAAAACCAAGAATAAAACAAAATGCGTGATATAAATGAATCCTTATATGGTAAAAATGAAAAATAAAATAATATTGTGATATCTTTTTTTTTTTTATTTCAATATGTAATATTAGTGTTTGTTAATTTTCATACTATTTTGGTTGATTCTTTTAACTTTACTAGTAAATATAGATATTTTATTGAATTATATAAATTATGTGCCTCATGTATTTATTTCGTATACTAATTTTTAAAAATAGTTGAAAAATAAAGAAAAAATTCTTAAAAAAATGATAAAAGTTTAAGAAACTATTAATGGACTATGGCTTGATTAGGCTTAAAAAAATAATATCATGCTAAGCATGGCATGGCCCATAAAGTATGTGGGTCAAGTGTCATGCTGGGCAATATTTCCAATTTTTATGAATTGTATCAGTATGACATGTTAAATAATAAAATTGAGGCGACATAACTCATTAACACATGAATTGATTTTATTAATGGACTTGTCGGCCTAGCACAACCTATTTGACACTTATAATAAGAGTCATATTAGTATTTAATATATATATTTTATATATATATATATATAGTATGTGATTTTCTATTAAATGTTTTCAATAGTTAACTTTTAATTAAATATGCTTACGAGCAAAATCAATTGTGTCAAATATGATTTGTACCTTTAAAATTCAAGCTCAAACTTAGATCGTCTATTTAGAATTATTATTAAAATATAAAAATAATTGTATTTTAAATATATTTTAAAATTTAAATTTAATAAAAAATATATTAGTTATTTATATAAGATATTTTTGAACTAAGCTTGAGTTTAAAACATCGTATTTAAGATCAAATTGAGTTGTGAGAAACTTGATTTATGGATACCTATACTTTTAATAATTTTGAAACAAATTAAAAAATTGCATAAATTCAAATAATAGGTGCGAATTTGATCTATATTTTTAAATAGAATAATAAATTTTAGATTTTTTCAACCAAAATTGAAAAGTTTTTGAAAGTTAATAAAATTTAGAGTTAAATATATATTTGACCCTAAACTTTAGAATATATTAGAATCCATATAGGAAAGTATATCTTTAAATTATATTTAACCTTACTAATCTCAGAGAAAAAAATCAAAACAGAAACGAGAGAACGTACCAATGGGTAAATTTTATGAAAGATCACTTAATTTATACTATAATCTCATTTTAGCTACTGAATTTTAGTTTGTTTTATTTTGGTCATTAAAGTTTGTTAAGTATATCAAAATTGGTTATCCTAACAAAATTCATTCAAATTTTCACTGAAAAATGATAGGGTTGCCATATCATCAGCTACATTAACTAATTAAACTTATATAATTTCATAAAATGTCATTAAACTTTCATCTAATTTTTAAATAGGTCATTAAGCTTTAATTGTCACTACACGATCACTAAATTTTGTTAAATATATCAAATTAGTTCATTTTAATAAATATCATTCAAATAAAAGTTAAATAAAATCTAATTATTGAAATCAGCCAAATAATATTCAGATTTTTTATGTAACTAAAAATTCTCTCATACCCAAAGAAAATCAAAAGAAAAAAATTTAGTAAATAAAAAGTAGACGGACCTCTTAGTGTATATTTGTTTTTCTTAAAATATTGCTACTTTAATTAAATTGTAAGGACATTTTCTTTTATTAATTTTTATTTTAAATGAAATTTATTAAAACAATCAAATTTGATACACTTGACAAGTTTAGTGACATTGTAGATTATGGTAACAAATTAAAGTTCATAGATATATTTGAAAATTGAATAAAAATTTAACTATCTTTCATAAAATTATATAGATTTAATTAGTTAATATGGCTGATAATGTGGCTAAGATATTAATTTTTGTTAAAATTTAAATAAAATCTGTTAAGATGATCAATTTTGATATATTTAATAAATTTTAGCAATCTGAATAGATAAAATTTAATGATCGAAATAAGATTTAGGTATTCGTTGGATTACCTTCATATGAAATTTAGCGTGTAACGAACAGCGAGATTTTGGCGCTGGAATTACCCTTTGTTTGCAAACGTCTCGTGTCCCCCCGTGCATGAACAGCCCTTATCTTCTCCAACCCCACTTGGGTCCCAGCTCCAACCTCAACCAACACCACCATTTTCAATTTTTCACTTTCAAAAAAACCACCCAAAGCTCTGAGGTAAATTCTTTCATTTTGTCATTATTAGTTCATTTTTTTCAACTTCTTTGTTGTTTTATCAGAATTATTGAGGATAAGAATCTTTTGTGTTGACTTGGTGTGTGAACAGAACAAGCACTTCAGTTCCTCCCTGTTTTTGTTGGGTTCTTCTGCATTTTAGGGCATATATTAATTGTTACCGTAAAAAACCCATTTATTATCTGCATATTTTCTGTGTGTTTTTGACTGGTTTATGCCTATGGCTTCCTGGAACTCAGGTTTTCTTTCTTGGCTTAAGAATTTCAGGAATATTTTTCAGGTTAGTGGGATTTTTTTACTTTAATTTTTCATCTTACAAATTTTTTTTCTCATTTGTTTGGTTATTGATGTTGGGGTTCATATCATAATATTATACAATACTTTAAATAAAGTTGAGTGGCTCAATTAATGGGTTTTTTTTTTTTTTAACAGCTGTTATGTTCTTAGCGCTCTGCTTCTACTTGATCTGGTAGTTTTCTTTGTGTTTCTATTATTCCTATATTATTGGTTTATACTTTTAGTATTCGAGAACATTGGTCAGAATGAACCATTTCGAGTGATTATGTTATGTTTTTGTGTTTCTAGTATTGTGGATCATACGGTTCTTCGTACTGGTCTGGAGTAAATTCTTCTATCCACGAAGCGACAAACTCTTCAAGTTTATGTTATTAACAAACCTTAAATATTTGTAAATGTATCGGTTCCTGTTAAAAGTGTTATTCCGTGGTGCAACTAAAGATTGATAATTTACTATTCATCATTACCTATTACCATAATTTCACCTCAAAATTTATGGAATGAAATCAAAATTTAATTGTAATTACTTACAATAACTTCATCATAATTACTTGGAATGGCATGTGGTACTTTTTATAAAACTTTTCCTGAATCCTGACCAAACTTTCGCTGTCTGTTGGCAAAGGATATCAGTTATTAAATTCTGCTAATTCGGGCTTTAGGTTTGTTGACAATTGATCATGTAGGTTAATTACAATTGATCATGTAGGTTAATTATTCATTTATTGGTAGTAAGAGTTTTTTGCTTATAAAGCATTCTAATTCAGTTAGTTTATTTGCTGTGTTCAGCTAAGACTGAAGGAATCTCTTACTTCTTGGGTTGAAATGCACATCACTATCAATTTCTTAAGACGAATTGCTAAGATCTTCTCTTAAGATCAAGTAAAGAATGGACAAGATCTATTTTTTGAAAATTTGGATATTGTCATTGATGTTGACATGTTACTTTGTCTTGATATATATTGAAGATCCCCTAGGGATGATTGTTGGTTTAGTAGGTTATTTACTATGAGGATTTTGTTATTGAATGTCCTGTGCTGTATTCAAGTCACTATTGACCTGGGAATTTTAATGTTCTTCTATTTTGTGGCTGTCTAACAATTTGACTCTAGAATTTTGATCTTTCATGCCTAGAAGCCATCCATCTAATGAGTTTTACGCTTACTGTGTCATTCAGAGCATGGAAAAAGTATGGTTGGACGATTTGGTTGGGTTAAGATAGTTCCTATGCTTTACGGTTTTCATCTATAGAGTTGATCATTTTTTAGGCTTTTGCTAGCCAACATAAATATCTCCACCATTCAATCTAACTAATGATAGAGATAAAATCTGAACGTTTGCAACTTTTACCTCTTGTTGTTTACTTATTGTTGGTTCTATCTATGGACTGATTTCTAGGTGATAAGAAAAATGCATTTTAAAAATTCAGGCATGTATGCTGGCTATGCTTTGCTTAGCCATCCTATGCTATCTTCTCTTATGCTCAAGAATCATTGAAAAAGTTAGAAACAATGGAAATATAGACCTGAACATGAACTTTCCTATTTCAAGGTGTAGAGGTGCAGGGGCTTTTGTGTGCGTTTGAGGGGGGTGGGGGCGGGTGGGGAGGTTCATGTTTCATCCCTGAAGATTGGTTAGTTGGAATTGGCTAGGATTTATCAAGCCTGAGGGTGGAGAATCTTGCAAATGCTAGTCATTGTTTGTTATTCCTTGACCTTTCATTGATAGAACAGAGGAATAAAGAGGTATCTCTTTTTTTTTTCTTTACATTTGAATGAACATGACTAATTCTTTGACCTTAATATATTGGAATATTCAAGCATGCAAATCTAGTAGGTATATAGTGGTTGTAAATATCTCTTTCGGAAGAGAGTGATGAATATTATGTTTCCTTGTTTGAACTGAATATAGTTGTGAATTTTGAGATGGGCAACACTTGTCTTGTTGGTTTTGTCTTTATTTTATTGGATGTTGAAGTTGCAATATTTAACTCTGACTTTCCTTGACATGCTTTTCATCAACATTTTTCTTGGGAGTGGGATGTGATATAGAAATGGACAGAATCCTGCCAATGCGATATTCCTGTCAAAGTTCCATGATGATGCGTATAAAGAAGTCAAGAGTCTTTCCATTCTCATTTATTTTCTCTGGCATAAGGTTGCTTATGCTGTTTATGTATTATCCCTCTTGAAAAATGTTTCAACTATCAATCCCTAGGGTAAAATTAATAATGTTAAATTCAAATGTTTATCTGATCTCGGCTTGTCCTCACCTCAGGATTGCATCTTCCTACCCTTAAATTGGCATTCACGATTTCTAGTGGAATTTAATTTTTTTTGTTTTTCTTGTTTATTGGGGGATTTTGCATCCTATGATGGTTGTGGTCATAATTTCCTTATTGTGCCTCTGCGAGGATCATATAATACATAACCTGAACAGTGCTCTGACATTCATATATGTTAAACAGTGCAGAATGAAGGAAGTCCAGCTTGGCTCACATACTGTAAGGTCCCATGGTGTCACCGTTGCAAGGACACACATGCATGATTGGCTTATACTTCTGTTGCTTGTGGTGATAGATGTTGTCCTTTATATCATTCATCCATTTTATCGCTTTGTGGGGAAGGATATGATGGATGATCTAAGATACCCCTTAAAAAGTAACACGGTGCCCTTTTGGGCTGTGCCAGTAAATTTCCTTTGCCTTTGCTTTGTAGTAAAATCCTTATTTTCGGTATGAGTAATAATTCTTTCTCTCTTGCTCTCCCCCCCCCCCCACCCAAAATGCCCCTCAATATTTAGGTATATGCAGTTCTGTTGCCAATGATGATTTTTCTCATTGTGTACATCCGTAGAAGGGATGTTTATGATCTTCATCATGCCATACTAGATAAGTGTATCTTTTGGATATTTCTCTGTTTTATCAACAAAGTTTTCTTCTGAATGAGCTTAAGAAAAGAATCATAACTTTAAAGTGTTGACTAAAAATTAGTTTGCTAATGCAGGCCTATTATTCTCTGTTCTAGTGACGGCAGTTATCACTGATTCTATAAAAAATGCAGTCGGACGACCTCGGCCGGACTTCTTTTGGCGCTGTTTTCCAGATGGAAAGGATGTATGTCTCTGTAGACCTGCCATAATGGGAACATAAAGTTTCACTGCTACCCTGTGACTTTTTGTAATGTCAATATTTTTTATCAAGGAACTCAAGTTAATTGCTTGACAGGCCTATGATAAATGGGGAAATGTCATCTGTCATGGTGATAAAAGTGTTATTAAGGAGGGGCATAAAAGCTTTCCAAGTGGGCACACCTCTGGTAAGTTCCTCTTATATTGGCAAAATTAATGTTCATATTTTGTTGAAATAATGAAAATTTTCAGATTGGTGTGATACTCTTAATGCTTCTAGTCATTTTCACACTGTAAGCTTTGGAGGATTTCTGGATTCATGTTTTAGGGTCTTTTGCGGGGCTGGGTTTTCTTTCACTGTACTTATCTGGAAAAATCAAAGCATTTGATCGCAAAGGACATGTTGCAAAACTATGCATCGTTTTTCTTCCTCTGTTGGTTGCATCTCTTGTGGGCGTTTCTCGAGTGGATGACTATTGGCATCACTGGCAAGATGTCTTTGCAGGAGGTCTCCTAGGTTGGTGTTGCCCTAATATGGACATTGTTTTGATTCATGACTTAGTCTATTACCTTTCTTAAGACTATCTTTTGTAGGGCTTCTAGTGGCTACATTTTGCTATTTGCAGTTCTTCCCACCACCATATCATGCTCATGGTAAGCTCCAAAACTGAAAATTGTTTAATTATTGAAAAGTTGATTCTACAAAGTGTCATGCTCTACATAAAATGCTTTATTGGTGAGATTCCTGAAAGCATATAAGGAACATAGGTATTAATATCTTCGGGTTGTTTTTTATAGAAATGAGTGATGCAAGAAGATTCTAAACTACGACCTAACATGGTTTCTTTTTTTGGCCTTTCATATAACCTATTCCCGAGCTATGGGATATACGGCTCAGTTGTTGATATTGTAGGTAGTAACATCTTCTCCTTTAGGAGTAAATAGGGAACACATTGACTTAGGAATCTCAGACTGTACAAAATTTTCAACCTGGTTTCCATGATATGTCTTTAACATTTAGCTTTCCTGGAGGATTTTTTTTTTTTATTAATTTAGGTTTGCTTTGATCTCATTTCATCCTCCATGAAACTAGAAAAATCCTATTTCTGGATTCGTGGATCTCTGCTTTTAATTAGAGAGAACTTTGATGGTGATAATCTTTAAATGGTCGTGGGGCCTATAAAATTTGTAAGCTTGCTTTTACTGATTTCGTTGTTGGAACGGGCTGCTGTTTGTCAAGTCTGGAATCAACTTCTTTTGTCAGTTAGCTGATACAGTTAGTTAAACCAGGGAGATAAAATTACCAATTATTTTTGGCTATAAAAACTTGGACATGCTGAATAGGAACATTTATTCTGAATTCTTACAATGCAAACAGATTCAATATATATATATATATATATATATATATATATATATGATTTTTATTGAGAATTTCATTTTGAAATTTTAATGTGTAGTTGGTTGTTGAAACTATGATTGTTCATTGTAGTAAAGTTGCTTCCCTTAAAAGCCTCCTTCCCACCTTCCCTTTTCTTCTGCCAACTGCTAATTTGTTAGGTCAAAGATGCTTGTGTTGCCATGCACGTGTCACTCTTTTTTTTGGTACATAACAGGCTGCAGCCTAGTAATAGGGGAAGGGGTTGCATGTACTGAGATTCAAACTTCTTGCATGAACTAATTGAGTTAAATTTCGAGTTGATTAAATCTAACAATCTGTGTTTTTATGTCGTGTTTGATACGTGTAACAATACGAATTAATAAAATACAAACACGACATGAATTATAAATCTTGTTTAAATTATAAATACGAACACGACACGTTTATTATACGTGTTACATGTGATACGACACAACTAATATAAATAATACTAATATACACAAATAAACACGAATAACACTGATATACACAAATAAATAGTCGATATGTATTATAAAACATCATACCAAATTCAAAGCATTCCAAGTTACTGACTTCAGAATATTCAAAAAATAACAATAATTTATGAATTACGTTTTAATGATATCGTATCATGTAATATATAATAAATTATATATTTTTTTATCATTATACATATTATTTAGAATATATATTATTTTTAATTTTAAATGTATAATCTTTTATTTTAATTTTTATAATTTAAAATAATCGCATATCATGATTCATGTTATTAAATGATCTTAAAATTTCTTATCATTATAAATGTTATCTATTATCATTATAATATATTATTGTATATTGATATGATTTGGAATTGCTTTACTTTATCAATGATTATATTGTTAGATGTTACTTGTTATTAACAATTAAGTGTATATTTATCTTTTTAAATTCTCTTTTAAAAAAAAACTGTTTTTAATCTTGCTATAAAAAAGTTACAAAGTAGAATATTTATTTATTATGTTAAAATTTATATATATGTAATCTGTATATTACTAATATAAAAAATACTTGCATATTTAAAAAAATATAAAAAAATTGATACTAATTTAATATGCATTTAACATATATTATATATATTTAAATTTTAATATATACATTATTAATATAACAAACATAAATGTATATATAACTATATTAGTTTTTAGTATCAAATTCAAAATAATGAATTACTAAAAATTAAAGAATAAGATAATGATGTATTGTTCTAATATTATTATTTATATTGTATTTATATTATTAATATAAAAAATAATTTAAAAATAATTATTAAATCGGTATCATAATTAAATATTTAAAATAATCTTTATATGGTAATTGAATAGCTAATTAGGTATCATAATTAAAAGATTAAAAATTAAAATATTCTTTATATGTATATATTAAATTAAAATAAATATAAAAAATGTGTTAAACGTGTTTCTGTGTGACAAGTTTTATTTAAATGTATTTTTCGTGTCTTATAAGTGTTTAGATGTTTTAACACGTGACATGAATTGTTTCATTGTGAAATTTATGTCAACAAGAATAAACACGAAACATGTTTTTTTAAAACACATATGCAATTTTTTCTTTGTCATTTTTGTATCGTATCATTGTGTCGTGTTTAAAATTATCAAGTGTTGATGGCTGTTGTCATTCTTGACATTTTAATTTGATGCATTATTAATTTAATTTATCACATAGCTTTTCATATATATATATATATATATATATATATTCCTGTATATATTAGTAATCTAAATTCTCTTAAAGTGAGCAACAATTTAGAGTAAGTTAAAAAGCTGGTCATCAATCAAGTTAATGAAATCAACCATACTCTTGATTTGAACATCTAAGTTATCTGAACTTTTGAACAAAAATGCTTGTAGGTTGGGGGCCTTATGCTTATTTTCGAGTATTGGAGGAGTCAAATGCAAATACAAACACAACCAATGTTGCGACTCTGCAAGATGCAATGGCTGGAGAGGTTCAGGTTGTGAACCAGGAAGAAGAAATAAGTGATAATGGATTTACGGGACTGCATTTAGCACGCGGTTCTAGTTCAACGTTGGAAGATATAGAATCAGGGAAGAGGTAGCTCTGTAAGTTTCGGGTTCCTAACTCAGACCAAATGAGGTATATGTATGTATATAAACGCATCTCATGAGCTGCAAAGTTTTGAAGTAAATTTTATGAACGTCTTTCAAGCAGTTCTGGATTCTGCTGGTATATTAGCATATGTTGCGGACAGTTTTCCTTCTGATTCTCCTCTTGGCTACATGTGAGGACTGAACACAATGTAAAAATAAAAATAAAAATAAAAATTTCGTGCTATGCCTATTATTTGGAAAACTACAAATGTTCTTTTCATGTTTATATATTAAGCAAGGAAATGAAAGTGTGTTCATTTTGTTGTATTTTATCCCTTTAGAGTGGACTAACAAAGTCATCTAATACAAATTTAGGTTAATTAACATCAAAAAATGAGTAATTGTGTTGGTATTGATTTTGATAACACTTTAGTCGAATAGTATGATTTTTGTGAAGTGTAATCTTAATGTTATTTTTTGTCTTGGATCTATAATGTGATGGCTCAGTCATTCACCGATGGGAGGTCCCAATACTTGATTATATATATATATATATATATAGCTGGCCCATTGGTATTGTGGAAATTTATTTTTTTCAATTGTGATTTTTTTCTTGTTTGAAATTCCTTCTGGTGCTAAGCCTAGCCCATTTGAACCGTGAATTTTCATTTTCACAATAGAAGCAAATCATCTTGTTTTGTCTTGATTGGGTTACGTGAATGAAGGAAATTAACTTTTTTTTTTATTGTTTTATTGAGGTAAGCTTGGGTTGCGATTATTTTCAATAAATTTTGGAATTTTATTTCTGATATTTTATCTATCAGATTTTTGAAGGAAACATTGAAAGATTGATTTGGTTTATTATAAATTTGATATAAGAAAGTTTTAGCATTTGGTATAATGGTATATTACATCGGAAACTGACAAATTAATGAACTTTTGCATAATTATGCAATTTAAAATAGCCTATTACTAGCTTATCTCGACATTTTGATAAGTTCTCTCTGTTAGCTGAAATTTCAATGGAGGAATTGGAGAAATGAGAGAAGCTTCAGTCCGTTTGTGGGTCATGAAGCATTTGTGAGAAGGGCAATGAGAAAAGAGAAGATGAATTACGAGCGTTTGAGAAGATTGAGTTGGGTGGTGAGAGGGCAGAGAACAAATTTTTTTTTTTTTGAAACATTTTCTAACTCTTTCATCAAAAGTGTCTGGCGAGGAAGAAAGTAGAGAGATATGAGTAGTCTGATTCTTACTTTAATTTAATTAAACTTGAAAAGAATTAGTTGATTTTTTTTTTTAGGATTGTATATTTCTTTTTCAGTTTTATTAATTAATTAGGTGATATTTTATGACTGATTGACGGTATAGTTATTATACTGTAGTACATCAACGGCAACAAATTTTCACTGTAGTACATTAAATATAAACCCTCTTAATCATCATACTTCCATTTTTTTTTAAAAGATTAGCAGGCTTTCATCAGAATTATTAATTGTCTAGAATCAAGTATTTAACGTTAGAATTAGAATTATCTTCAAAATAAGTGAAAATCAAGTGAAAGAATAATTTAATTAAACTATATAATAATTCAAGCAAGTTCCATGATCAAAAGTATTTGATAAAGAAAACTTGTTGTAGAGGCAATCGATTCCGATCTTAAAAATAGTCAACTGTCATGAACAAAAAATGTACCAAAGTTTTGGTATAAAGAATCATATAGTTTTCAACCCTAGACAATTCACTGTTATAGTTGGAAATCAAGCCAGTCGACTGCTTAACCTAGAGTACTCAACCGACTGCTTGCGTTGGAAGGTCTTCTGTTTTAGGAAAACAGTCGACTACCATTAGTTGGAATCGACTTCTCTTATGACTAAAACGTTTTGTAAAGCATAAAAGTCGAAGTCCATTGCTTTCAAGTTAGAAGCATTTTGGAATTCAGGAAAGTAGACTGCCTTATTGTCAATTGCATTCTATAATCTATTGAGTAGTCGACTGCCATATGGAAGAATTGATTGCTCTGCTGCACGTAGCATTATGGAATTGGGATTTACAAAGGAGTAGTTGACTGCCGTTTAGGTAAAGTCAACCTCGTGCCAAGACTAAAAGTTATATCTTTCATAATTGAAACACTATCTTTCATTTCAATTGGATTATGATATTTTATTAAATAATATTCGCTTGAACAATTATCCGTAATTATACAAAAGGGTGTGTTCTTAATCAAATAACATAACTGTTGGATTAAATAATACAATTAAAGGAATATAACTCTTGAATCAAATCTCTATAAATAAAAAAATGTATAACACATTTGATATCACTTTTAATTTTTAATTTTTTTTCTTTTTTACTTTCAAATCTGAAAGTCTCTTACTTAGTTTGCTGCGAAAAATTTAGCCTAAGACTAATATTTTCGATCCTTTTTAAAGGTGTTTAGTGGTTAGAAACTATTAGTGCAAAGTGATTTCTAGCAAATGTTTCATTGTTTGACTATTTGACAACCTCTATTACATCCCAGCAATCTGTGAAGGCAAATAAATTTTAAGGGAAGCGCCACATAAAGTAAGCCTTGAAACATTCATATTTTAAAGTTCAGCTCTCCGTTCTTGAAGTACACCAGTGCTATTGTGCTAGAATTCATCCAAGAAGGTTTTACTTCAACTACAAGATGACTCACATCTACGGCATTCAAATTTTTAAATTAACAAATTTTATCCTTAAATATATATAACTTTTATTAATCTATTTAAATTTAATTTATTTCATAACAGAACAGATGGGTAAATGTAGGATGGAGATGAATTTGATAGAAATTGAGAAGGTTCTGAAGAAGGTTTTGGAAAGAAGATGGAATAGTTTGTTAAAGATAGATAACAGTTACCAATTCTTTGTGATATTAAGATATTGCTAATCATCTATGAACTAGATAAACAAAAAGATAAACAAAAACCTGAGATTTGGCCTGATAATGACGAGGAAGCTCAACAAATCATCAATAGGTTCAAGCAGCAGCCTGCTAGAGTTGATAGCAAAAAAGCTTGTGATTCTTTTGCAAGTACGAAGAAAAGATTCGGTGAGAAATATTGAATTTCGGATCATAAGAGTATGATCAATCACTTCTCTGAGAATGAGCTTCAAAAGTTGTGTTGTGAATCGGATGATAAGACTGATGCTGTGACGACTGCAATTAAATCAGAACAGGTCCTGACAGAAGGACCTGGATCGCCAAAGATGTTGGGTGACAGTCAAGGAATAGGATTGTTAAACAAGAGGAAGGGAAAAGAAGGTGTTATCTACCAAGAGCCTGTCTATACTCAACAAGACCAGAGTTTTCAGATGCTTTCCCATAACCCAAATTTCATGAAAAGTCCATTGATGATGATGACGCAGAAAGGTATCAGCTATCCTGAATTTGTTGATGGTGGTTGTAGTAGTAGTAATATTCCTTATTTTCCATTGCCCATTCATTATGATTATGTTGATATCTTGGATGCAACCAGCTTACATGAACGCTAATTTCTCAATGGGATACTATGATCCAATCATCTACCATATACCCCCAGGAATTTATTATCCAATGATGCAGGCTAACAGGATTTTTATATTGGTAGTCTTGTTTTAGTAGTTAAGTAAATTTTACTCCTTCAATTCCAAAATATTTGTTATGTATTAACTTTCATGGGATTTAAGAAAAAGCTTTAATTTTAATGTATTTAATATTAAAATTTAATTTTTTGTAAAATTAAAGTTTCATGATTTTTAATATCAAAAAATAAAAAATTCATAAAATATAATTTTAAAATATAAAAAAGTAAAAATTTTATATGTTTTTAAAAAATAAGATATAATTTTGGGACACAAAAAAAAAAAGATGGATAAAAAAAGGGAAAGAAGGAGTAATTTTTTTATTGATATTCTTGAATAATTGACATTTTATTTTCATTTAATAGTATATTGTTGGCTAATTAAAAAAAAATAGTGTATTGTTGGCCTAGTCTCATGGACATGCTTTTTTTTTCCCCTTAGTAAGAAATAAGTTGGTTAATAGATAGATAAAATATAAATTATGAAACTTTGAAACAATTTAATTTGGTTGGTCTATACGATATTTGGAAAGTTTGAAATTTGAATCTTGCAATCATTTATCTATCCTCAAGTTAGAATTTTTATTAAAAAAAAAAAATTATGAGACCAATTTTAAAATCAAAGGCAAAAGGGATAATATCATAAATAATTTTTAAGCTATAGTTAAATATTTAACATAATATTTAAATTTTAAAAATTTTTTATATTATATTTAAATTATAGATATAATAATTAATGTGATATTTAAAAAAAAAATTTATTTATCATTGAATTATCTTTTAAAATTAATCATATTAAAAATTAATACTATAATAATAAATAAATTCATAATTTATATACCATATTAAAAATTTTTAAAATTTAAGTATTATATTAAATATTATATGCAGTCTAAAATTAATGACATTAACCAAGGCAAAAACAGCAATGTTGGCTCAGTCATATACATATATATTTTTTAGAAAAAAACTACGTTCGTTGACAATATATCAAACACCTGGACTGCAACTTCGACGAAAAACCAAAACTTGAATCCTATAATTATGGTTACTTATAATGACTTAATGAATAAAGAAAAATAATCTAAAATAAGTTCCATGAAAATAACATGATTCGAATAAATGTAGAGAAGTATAAAAGCCTCGTCAATTTATTACTCAAGACAATTGAAACATAACAACAGTCTTTTGTTTCCTAGGAAATTAAAAATTTTCTATTGGAATTTGAACTATCCCCGGACAAGTAGGATTCCAAAGATTCCAAACTAAAACCATATCCAATACCTTGTCCAAATCCAAACCCAATTCCAACCCCACAACCAGCTCCAACCCCAAACACAAGCTTCAAATGGTTCCAAGGCCACCCACCATACCCAACTCCCCCAACCAAACCAAACCCAACTCCAATGCCACAACCAATCCCAGCACCACATCCAGGGCCTAACACATTCTCCCCCACTTTCTGGCGGCTTTCACGGAGGAACTCTGACACTGGAAATTGCTTGACATTCTTTTTCTTCTTCATGTTTCCTTTCCATTTCCATAAGGAATTTGTGTCTTTGGATTTGGTTTTCATGGGACTTGAGGTAAGGGAAGTATAGAGGGAAGAGGAGGTCGGGTTGGGACGTGGGAGAATAGAAATTGAAAACTTTATCAGTTGGGTTTGGATAATATAAATGCCTGTACATTTGTTTTTCCCAATTGTCGCCTTCTTTATTCTCTTGTCCCTAAAGATGACAATTTTAAGACTTTATATTTAATATAATATCGGCGCATAAAATTTATGTAATATTAATAAATTAAATGATAATATTATATTAATGAGTAAATATTAATTTTTAAAATAAATAAACATAAATTAATTTTTTTAAAAAAAATTACTTATAAATGAATTATTATTATCTGATTTACTGATATTATATAAACTTTATATACAGTGCATCAAATACAAACTTTAATTTCAAATACTATATAATCATATTAATATAAAATAATATAAAAATATAAAAAATATATAATTTAAAATTTTAATAAAAATTATATGTAAATAAAAATGAATTTTATGTTTAACATATGGATTAATAGTATTCGTAATTTTTAAACTTTGATCTAAATTCTATTTTGGTGCTTAGAATTTAAAAAATTTTAATTGGATCTTTAATTGCTCAATGTTATTCTATTTTGGTCATTTCATTTATAAAACTATTAAATTGAAGGTAAATGACAATTGGCACCACGTTGTAACGTTAACTAGCATCTCATATGACAGATGAGGGATCAAAATAAAATTCTCTCAAAGTTTAAGGACTAAAAATGAATCTATCTCAAAATTTTATATATTTTATAAAATATTAAATTTAAAATTATATTTTTATATTTTTGTTATAATATAATTTATTTGTTATATTTTTTGTTTTTAATAAAAGATAGTTTTTTTAAAAATTTAAATTTAAATTCATTTTTAAAAAATTCAATATCATTTTAAAAACAAAAAGTTATTTTCTACTAAATATATTATTTTACTCATAAATTATAATAAAAATATTATTTTCTATCTATAAAATATATGTTTTAAAATATTAAATATCTTTTTATTTTCCTTTTTCAAATATATTTTGAAAAAAAAATAAAAACGAAAAGAAAATAATTCAAGAAAAAAATTCATTTTTATATATTTCAAATATATTTTATAAAATATTATAATTTATAATATTTATAAATTTTATTATGATATGATTTATAAATAAAATAATATTTTTATATAAAATAAATTTTTAAAAAATTAAAATTAAGTTGAAATTTTCAAAATGATTTTGTTAAAATTACATATCATTTTTAAAAAATTAAATTGAAAATTTCAAAATAATTTTGTTAAAATTACGTATCATTTTAAAAAATAAAGTAAAAATTTTCATATCGATTTAAACAATAAAATAAAAACTCTATATCATGTTAAGAGTTTATGTAAAAATTTTCATATCATTTTCAAAAATAAATTTATTAATCTATTTAAAAATATAAATACAATATAAATACTTTATATTCATATAAAATAAACAATATAATTTAAAACATTTTTTTTAACTTTTTTTATAAAATGCATTTTATAAAATATATTTTAAAAGAAAAATAAAAATATTTAATATTTTAAAAAGTAAATTTTTTGGATAGAAAATAATATATTTTATAATGACTTATAAGTAAAATAATATTTTGAATAAATTTTTTTTTTATTTTAACAATGTATTAAATTCTTAAAAAAAGGAATTTGAAATTTTTATCTTAATTTTTAAGTTTTGAATATCTATTTTGTATTTAAAACAAAAATCTATCTAATAAGCTATATTATAACAAAAAATATGCAAATATAATTTTAAATTTAATATTTTATAAAATATATATAATATATAAAATTTTGAAATAGTTTTATCTTTGGTCCCTAAATTTTGAGAGAATTTTATTTTAGTCCCTCATTTGCTTATAAGATATTAGTTAACGTCATTACGTGTGTCAGATGATATTTGCCGTCAATTTAAATGGTTTCATTGATGGAAGGACAAAATAAGATAACTTTAGGCAATTAGGAATCCGATTAAAAACTTTTTAAAATTTAAGGACCAAAGTAAAATTTGAATCATAGTTTAGAGACTACAATGCTATTAATCCTAAAAAGAACCAAAAAATTGGATCAAATTTCTAGAACTCCCAAAACTAAAGCCCAAAAAAATTTTGTTTGCTTGAACTTTGCATGATTGCTCTTTTAATTGCTTACTTGATTGCTTGTTGTTGGTGATTTCAAATTATATATTAGAGTTTTTATATAATAATTTAAATTCCAAAATCACAAGGAAAATCCCCACAACCGAATTTATCAAAAACATTTTCAAGTTTTTTTCTAAGATCTTTCCTTTGTCAAGCATCTTGATGCCCAAGTATTTCCAAAATTAATTGGTCTTTAAATTCTCAATTTCAACAAGATCTAAAAAAAGAAAAAAAAAAATAAAATCCCAAGCTTTCCTTTTGCAAAATTAATCTCAATTTTTCCTCTTTTTTCTTTTTTTTGGCAAAAATTGAAAATAATATTAAATAACAAAAATTAAAACTAAAAATAAAAAATAAAACAAAATAATAATAGTAAAAATTAAAACAAAAATATAATTTTGGGCTTAGAATTCAATTTCACAATTAAAGCCCAATTCCTATTTTGCATCCCATTATAAAAATTCAAAGCCCATTTTAATGCAAAAAAATTTTTGGAAAAAATGGAGTATCTATAAATATTGTTGCTAAAAAAATAATGCAAACTCATCGAAGCTTATTCTACAATCACAGCCATGGCCATATCTTTGTAGCAAGTACTACATCTTTTCTGTTTTGTTTCTATTCGCCTTAGTAAAAAGCAAGCAATCATCTTAAAAAAATATGAGTGACCTTGGATCTAGATTTATAAGCTTGAGTTCCACACATCAGATTATCCCTTTGAAAATTAGCTAGTAATGCTTTTAGGCCTTCACTGCATATAAATATAGAGATAGAAGATTGGCTTCGCAAAGACTTCTTTCTAGATATAAATTGTTAGTGATACATCCATTCACAATATTGAGTTAGAAATGGAAATGATGCATCTTACGATGAGAGAGATCCAACAAATGGAATCTTAATTTTTTCCATCATAGATCCTAAAAAGTTTCATTTTACTTGATCATAAGCTTTACTTATATTGAGCTTAAAAGCAAAATGACCTTCTTTTCCTTACTTTTTGGATTTTAAAGAGCGCAAAAGTTCTTAGGCTACATGTATATTATCAATGAATAATCTACTCAGTGTCATAACGTATAGATCTATAAATCTATAGCTAGACTTGACTTAAAGAGTTACCACTAATCTTTTTTGGTCTATGTGCGATTTGTCATATTTTTAGGTACCTTTGAAAGGTAAATCCATGTCTATGAAACCAGAATTAGGTTTAAAAGTATGGTTACATGTGAAGAAGGTTTAGCACCCCCACATCGCCCATCCAAATGATGGCACCAGCTTGATTTCATGTTATTCAAAAACTTTAAAAAACTTACGATGTAATTAAGAACATCCTTTTATCTCATGAGTATTCAAAGAGGCTATTTGTCATGCTTTGAAGAGACTCCGTCATCGGATTTATTTAATTTTTGTAAAAAAAAATTGTTTGTGATAATTGAAAATTTTGTGAGAATATTAATATTGAAATTTTTTTCTAAATTCTCTAATATGTTAGTAAAATTTAAAAAAGATTTCTCACTTAAGAATTTATGTAGAGATTGCTATTTGAAACACTTTATGTGATTTTATCATCGAAGATTCAAAATCTAATTTTATAAATGTAGATACCCATTTGTGTTCGGGATCAATTGGATCGATTTCTTTTGTTATTAGTGTTATTATAGTACATATTATAATACTATGGCATACTATTGAAATTATTATAGTATTATTAATAATATTATTGTACCATATTATTATTATTATTTCTATTTTTTTTATTTTTTCTTCTTATTTCCTTTTACTCTAATCCGCACGTGAACAAGGAAATCTGGAATCAAAATCAGAATCTCACCAGCTTGGTTAAAGTTTTAATGCAAAATCATATTAATATGATTGCTAAAATTTTGAGATCTAAAATCACACTGGACAGAACTTAATCCCAGGATTCAAGCCTGGTATTGATTTTGTTCATTTCCTAAAATTGATTATAGAATTGTATATAAATTGAACTAAAGATCAAAGGAACACATATAAAATCGATTTGGGGGGTAGACGATGAATTGGGAAATTTTTGGTTCTGAAAATTGCTTGGGTAGTAAAGAGTTTTTCTAAGATTTTGATTTTGAGAATCCCAGGTTTGATTTGAAGTTTCTTGGTTAGATTTGGGTTTTTAAGGTTTGATTTAAGTTGCTAGAGAATTTTTTGAAGAAATCTGGGCAAATCTGAGAAATTTTGGGATTTTTATGGAAAAATCTAGGTTTGGATGAACTTTTCGGTGAATAATGAATTTTTCGACAGGGTTTGAATTTTTCGATGGGATTTCAGCCAGTTTTTCAAAAATTGGTGGGTTTTTCAGTTTCAAGTTGAATTTTTTGGTGACATTCTGAGAAATCGGTGGGATTTCTAGTTTTCAGTTAAATTTACCGGTGGGTTCTTCGAGAATTTTAGAAAGAGGTCAGAGGATTTGAAGGCAAAAATAGAATGAGTAGAGGGTGTCTGGGATAAAAATGCTGAAAGATTACTTTTATATTGCTCCAAAATAGCAGCGTTTTGGCAGCCCATGATTCGTGCTCTAATCCACTGACCCGTGCGTTGACCCACGCTCCGACCTGACCTAATCACAATGTTTCCTTTTTTCATTTTATTTTTGTTTTCTAATTTTATTTTTATTTTTTTATTATGGTTTTATTTTTGAGAAATTTTGTAAAAATTATTTCTATTATTCTATTTTTTGAAAATAAATAGGTTAAAAAAACAATTATATAAAAAAACCTTTCTTAATAAGTAAAAAAAAATAAAAAAAATCTTTTCAAATAAGTTTTTGAAATAATAAAAAAA